TTCCCAGTCCAAAATATAATTAGTGAAAACTACATATGAGGGTGGTGGACGGCGCTAAAGGATTGCAGTTTTTGTAGGATGCAATTAGTATGCAAACACATACCTGCGAATATTAACCGGTCCCTCATCAATGGCTGATAGCCGTACTCGGTGCGATGATGGCTTTGTGGCCCACATGCGAATCGTTAAGGGCCACGATTTCACAGATGGCGTAAGTTAACGGCGTTTTAAGTATTAGGAACTGATCTTATCTTTGGATAGAGCATTTGTTCCTGTGCTTCCTGTTTGACCAGCTACCCTGATCACGCAAATTTAAAACCTGGAATTTAGGGTGGGGGAGGGGTCATTTTGCTTGTGAATATATTGTGGGTGGTAAAACCAGGATACGAGCCCACACAGCTGCCAGCTCTCGCAAAAACTTTAGCTTCGTTGAACTCAGAGGTCTTGCTGGTTCCCGCCGATGGAGCCGCTACCTGGGAGCGGATGTCATTTTTCCTTATTGTTGTTATATTTCCGACCTTCCGTATCCCGAATAATCTCCCTGTTTCTCCTAAGTAACTACTTTGTCCGCACCTCAAAACATTTTCGACCTTCACAGTGAAATTTCGGCCTCCTGGCTTGACGCCTGATGGTCGCCCCTGGTCTGTGTGCAACTCGAAATCCCAGTGGTGTGGGGAGCTTGACGGAGCCGGAATTTTCGTGTGAGATGCAGCTGTGTGAATTGTGAAATGTTTCAGTTCTGGTTTGGCGGCCTGCAGTCTTTTAACAAGTACAGTCTCCGCCCTTACAAATCCAGCCCTCAAACTTGGCTTAGTCGGGGTAATTATTCAGATAGGGAAGCGCGCAGGCGAACACTGCATCAAGTGAAAATATAGGGAAACCAAATTGCTAAATAATTACCATGCCACTAAGTAAAAACAGGGATGAACTTGTGACCATTAGCGTCTTGTTTGCGGACGATCAAGCCATCATCGCGCCGAGTATGTACATCACCGATAGATGAGGGAGTTCCTGACGTTGACAAGTATGTAGCTGCATGCCAACTGCAACCTGCAAAAACCGCATTCCTTATGCGCCGTCCACCACCGTCATCTGTAATTGCGTCTAATTACGTGGTTGAGTGTGATACAGAAACGCCAGATGAATAAAGTTCTCGTTCCATCAGTGGAGTACCTGTCATGCACGTAGTCATTTCTGAAATTATTTTCTGGAGTTCATAAACCAAAGGTTAGGGTATCATTTAGTGTTACTCTAAACTTCGCCTGAGTTACGCAGTCTTGGAATTGAAACTGTCAGCGCTCTACAGACCAATATTTTGGACGCGGTATGCGAACGAGACCTTCGTCGTCTTCGAGCGCGAAACGGTCTCCGATCCTGCATTCTGTTTTCAACGGGGACTGAGTTCATCACGCCAGTAGCGTTCCAAGATATCATGGTCAACCGTAAGACTGATGAGAGCCTAAAGACGGCCCTATGCCGTAAAGCCACCAAAACACACCAGGTCCTAAGTTACCACAGCAATCACCGATTGTGCCACAAACGAAGCCTCGGAACCTCATTACAGCGCGGCAGACGAAAAAGCCGTCG